AGTTTTGGAAAGTTCTGTTATTCTCCTCCAGGGTTGTTAGTGACGATTGACCTCAATCCCAGACCTGGATAGATGCAGGTGGGACTTCCTCCCTGTCCTTGTCTCTTAACTATAAAATCTTGGTGGGAGGTTATGTCACCTCAGCATTCTGAGACACCCCATGGAATAATCCATCCTTTATTTGCCAAGAAGATGGCAGCAGTCAGTTTCACATGAGCCACAGAAGGCGTGCCCCATCAGAGGGCTCGGCGCTGCCTCTGTGCTGTCTTTATATCTAGGCTTAAGCTCGTGTTTTTTGTTTTTTGTGTTTTTTTTGGAATGCTTGCATCATGAGAATGTTGTCCTCCTGAAACTTGTTGGACTTTCTGGCAGGCTGGAGTTTGTGGAGGGAGGCCCAGAAGCCTGATGGTGCCTCTGTGCCCATGGCCATACCTTCTCTACTCGCTTCATCTTCTTCTGCCTTTGCTGGTAGCTGAGGAGGAGATTGTCAAAGGCAAAGCCACCAGGATGTTCTGTCTCCCTGGCTTTGGGCTCCCCAAACCTTTGCTGTGGGTGTCAAAGATGTGAGAAAGAGGATAAATATCTTAGGCTAAAATCTGTCCTCCTCAGACGGTTGACAAGCCCCCATGAGATCTCATGCTGTTACTGTCTCTGAGCTCATCACTCCTTCCGTCTCTGCCTCTGTCACAGTGACCTTCTCTCTGTTCCCCAAAGAGCCACCCTTCCTGCCTTAGCCCTTGCCGTCCCTTCTGCCTGGCATATTATCCAAGGGTCTCAGCTCAGATGTCACCTTCTTGGAAAGGATGCCCCTGACCTGCTGCAGGATCATGTTCTGCTTATTCCTGCAGCATGTAGGAGGGTGAGGCCAAGCCTGTTTTGTTTCCTGCTGTACCTCTAGGGCCTTGAACATGCTGGCCCAGAGTCAGTGCTCAATAAGTAATCGTCGAGGGAAGAAACAGACAGGAGAGGTAAGGAATATTGAAGGCCACAGAATGCGCTCTGTTCTTTAGTGGGGGCTGAAATTATTTTTATAATACAGGCTGGGCATCCCTAATCCAAAAATCTGAAATCTGAAATGCTCCAAAACCTAAAACTTTTTGAGCACTGACATGACAGTCATAGGATATGACCAATGGAACATTTTAGATTTCATATTTTCAAATTAGGGGTGCTCAACTGGTAAGTATACCATAGATATACAATGTAAATATTCCAAAATTAAAAAAAAATCTCAAAATGCTTCTGTTTCTAAGTATTTTAGATGCTCACCCTGTAGTAATGTAATTAGGAAATACTCAACCTGTAGTAGTGTAATTAGCCACTGGTATAAACTGACTGCCTTTGACTACCTTGTATTCAGGCTCTGCACTCAGAAGGAACACTACTTTAACATCTAGGAAAGCAGTAAATGGTCATTTGAATCTTTATTAAAGAATTTTAGAGATCTGGGGTGTAGGAAATAAATTGCATGGCACAACAAAATGTCCCAAGATGTTTTTGATGCATTTAACTCCCTAGACTTCCTCTTACCCTGGCAGTTGCTCCATCTTGAAAAACAATCTATGTTATGTCCTACATTCTCTCTCACAAGCTCATCTCTGGCAGCAGCCCTCCTGCCGTTTCCCTTATCCGTCCATCCTTGCTTACTCTTCCTTATTTTCTAACCTGTGTCGTCTCTGCCGTGTTCTTTTGAAAAAATGCCTGCTGGTACATATCCTGCCAGGCACAAAGTAAACACTAAATATACATTATTGGATAGGTGGAGAGTGGGAAGGAGGAAGAAAGGAAGAAAAGAAAAAAAAGAAAGAGAAAAGGGAAGAGAACCAGGACTGGACTGAGACCACTCTCAGAAACTTACCTGGCTGCAGTAGCACCTGTGCCTCTCCAGGCATCTGGAGGTGTAAATACAAGGAAGACTCTTTAAGGAAACTTTCTGAGATGACTTAGCAGGCTTTGCATTCTTTAGGTCACCGTTCTTAATGGACCATAACTAGTAAAATTAAAATATGCATGCTCTTTGACTCAATAATTTCACTTATAGAAATCTATCCCATACAAATGCTAATACAAGTATAAAAATAAGTATAAAAATACATTTATCTGGCTGGGCAGCATGGGAAGACTCTGTCTCTGCAACAACAACAACAACAACAACAACAAAAAAAAAAAAAAAAAAAAAAGAAGAAGAAAGAAAGAAAAAAGAAAAAGTAGCCAGGCATGGTGGTGTGCGCCTGTAGTCTCAGCTACTTGAGCTGGGAGGAGACCTTGAGCCTGTAGTGAGTCAAGATTGCCCGCTATACTCTAGGCTGGGTCTCAGAGTGAGACCTGTCAGTCAATCAGTCAATCAATAATATCTATACGTAGTAGTCCAGTGCAAGCATTAAAGAGTATAAGATATCCTTAATACTGCACCTTTCTTTTCTTTCTTTCTTTTTTTTTGAGATAGGGTCTTACTCTATTGTCCAGGCTGGAGTACAGTGGCACTATCTTGGCTCACTGCAACCTCCGCCTCCTGGGTTCAAGCAATCCTCCTCCTTCAGCCTCCTGTGTAGCTGGGACTACAGTGCATGCCACTGCACCTAGCTAATTTTTTAATTTTTGGTAAAGACGGGGTTTAACTGTTGGCCGGGATGGTTTCAAACTCCTGGGCTCAAGTGATCCACTGGCCTCAGCCTCCCAGGGTTGGGATGATAAGCATGAGCCACCACACCTGGAAATACTGGGCCCTTCAAGAAAGTACATGCTTGGATGGGTGTGGTGGCTCATGCCTGTAATCCCAATACGTTAATAGGCCAAGGCAGAAGGATTGCTTGAGCTCACGAGTTTGAGACCAGCCTGAGCAAAATAGCAAGATCTTATATCTACTGAATATTAAAAAATATTCAGATCACATGGTGATGCATCCCTGTGGTCTCAGCTATTCAGGAGGCTGAGGTGGGATCATTGCTTGAGCCTGGGAAATGGAGGTGCAGTGAGCTATGATGAAGCCATTGCCCTCCAACCTGGATGGCAGAGCAAGACCCTGTCTCCCAACCCCTCGCCACAAAAAGCAAATGCTCAAAAGATGTTTGTTGATGATAATACTCAGTGCTGAAGCAATTACAGTGAAATCAGCACATCTCTTTTGGAACACAATTTCTTACTGGGTGTTATCAAGTCATAAATATTTTTATTGCTGTTGGCCTTATAATCTCATTTTGGGAGACTGATATTAAAAAATAAACAGGAAAGAGAGTTATGTGAATTAGGGCTTTATTACAAAATTATTGATCACAGGAAAGCAGTAGAAACTATTCACATGGCTTCAAAGGAGAAGAGCTAAGTGTTTCAACCCATGGAATGTCAGGCCATCCATTGTGAAAATTGCAAAATGCAGAGATGAGGTGGCTCTCTATGTCCTGATGTGGACAGATGTCCGTACATATTGCAGAGTAATTGAAAAAGAAACCCAAGTGGGCTCTGAGATCCCAGAGAGTGTGTTTACACGGGTGCACATATGCAGTTGTGTGCAGTTACATGCCACAGTCTGGGATGGTCTGGGATGGCTTGGATGTCATAGGATGGCCTGGGTCAGTCTGAGATAGTCCAAGATGGTCTGTAGCTACATGAGCAGCATCTGTCTCTGTGGATGGGGAGGGGGGACCACATCTGCTGAGTGCTTTCTCTTTTAATTCTTCACGCTTCTGTATTGTTTTTTTTTTAAATGAATATATATGCTACTAAACAAGTTTTTTTTGTTTGTTTGTTTTTGTTTTTTGAGACAGTCTTGCTCTGTGGTCTAGCCAGGAGTGCAGTGGTGTGATCTCAGCTTACTACAACGTCTGACTCCCAGGTTCAAGGAATTCTCCTGCTTCAGCCTCCTGAGTAGCTGGGATTACAGATGCGCACCACCATGCCTGGCTAATTTTTGTATTTTTAGTAGAGACAGGGTTTGACCATGTTGATCAGACTGGTCTGGAACTCCTTACCTTGTGATCTGCCCGCCTCGGCCTCCCTAAGTTCTGGATTACAGGCGTGAGCTGCCGTGCCTGGCTGTAAACAAGTTTTCAAAATACTGGTTGTTAAGAATACCAGAAAATAAGTTTTAAAATGATGATGTTTTAAGAAAATTGTTTTCTTTGCAGGGGGCCGGGTACAGTGGCTCACACCTGTAATCCTAGCACTTTGGGAGACCAAGGTGGGCAGATCACCTGAGGCCAGGAGTTGAGACCAGCTTGACCAACATGGTGAAATCCCATCTCTACTAAAAATATGAAAATTATGTGGGTGTAGTGGCAGGTGTCTGTAATCCCAGTTACTTGGGAGGCTGAGGTAGGAGAATTGCTTGAACCCTGGAGGTGGATGTTGCAGGGAACCACCTGGGCGACAACAGCGAAACTCCAGCCTGAGTGACAGAGTGAAACTGTCTAAAAAAAAAAAAAAAAAAAGTAAAAGAAAATAGTGTCTGGAAAATGCCCTTTCTTCTGCTAGTTCGAGAAACTGTTCTAAGAGGGCCTTTCATGGAAATGAAAGGGTTTCTACAGAAGGTGTTGCCTGTTGGGTGGCTGCTGGAGGCTGGGGCTGGTGTGAGCTGCAGGGCCCTGGCATCCTTTCTGCAGGAGCTTGGCCTGCACATCAGCTGTTTTCTAGGCCAAGAGCTCAGAGGATGCAGGAAAGTCGAGGGCACAGCTTTATAGTATTACCAAAGCCTCGTTCCACAGCAGGGATCCTTGTGTATAACATGATAGTTTCCATTCTTGAGCACGACCAATTGCCAGTCCTAGGCTTGAGTCCCTGTATCCCTGATACAGTTCTCATCCAATTCAGCCAAGGATCTAGACAAGGAAACGAGGTTTGGAGGGGTCACAGGTTTGTCAAGTCCTTGGTAGAGCTCCTTTCCAGTATGTTCTGGATACTTACATGGCTGGTAATCTTGACTTTGGTACCACAGGGAGCCTATATTTCCATTGGTTTGGTACCCAGTGCCAAGATGTGAGTGTCAACCTGAAAAAAAGAATCAGAGCTTTGTGCAGTGGCAGTATCGAGCCAATGGGGTTTATCTGAGGTGCGATTATTGCTAATTGAAAACTTTTCCCAATTAAAAACAAACAAACAAAAAACTAAAATTTAAAACACACACCAGAAAAAAATGATCTTTTAACGTGTCGAATTTATTCAGGAGTAAGTAAAAAGGATTATAAAGCAGGATGCATAGCTATGGCAAGCCACAGGTGCACCCGAAGAGGAGAGAGTAAGGGAAAGCTTTTATTGGCAAAAAGAAGTTTATACAAGCTGCTTGAAAATAGAGTTTATTGGTTCCTGAGGCTCAAAGCCAGAGTTGGCATCAGTTCATTGGTGGAGACGCTGTTACCAGGCAAATGTTCTTTGAAGAGCGTCTTATCTGAACTGCTGCAGTCCTAAAGAATGTCTAGTGATAAACCCAGTCTAGAAATACGTGCATATAGGCAAGACGTGGATCATGAAAAGCATGAGATGCATGAAGGACGTGGAGGAATTTCTTGTGGGATTATTTTAGAAAGTCCTTGAGACAGTTGTTATCTCAGAAATGCAAGCATAAGCTCCCCTCCTTCGTGCTATTCTGGCTCCGGTTTCTTTGGACCCGATGAGTGATTTTATCCTGGTGTCTGCAACTTTCACACCAGTAACAGGAACAGGCCAAGACATATCCAGATTAGGTGAGTGTTTCTAATTTCAGTGCATAATTCGTATTTGCCCGTGAGTGAGCTGAGGAGAAAATGGTTATGAGAAAATCAAGTACCTTTGTACTTTTCACATGTGCAATAAAAGAAGCATCTCATTACTGCTGAGCTGCATACTTTCTTTTTTATGTTTATATTATAGGGGATTTTAAGTTCCACCAGACAGTATGACCTTTGTTAAGAAGCTGCAACAGTATGTTTTAAGTATTGTGCATGTATGGCAGGTAGGCATGGGTACATATATATATCCACATATATACATGCCATACATACACAATACTTAAAATATACATATATTGAAAATAACTTTGTTTCCTGCTTATTACAGTTATAAAAATATTTCCCCATTTTATTTAAAGGTCTTTATAGATTCCTTTTAATACCTGCATGACATAATTTTAACTCCTGCACCATATACATCATATATATGTAGCATGGTTTACTTAACCATTTTTCTCCACTGTATGACATTTATGATGTTAACAAGTTTTTCCTATTATGAATAACATGAGGATCAGTCTTTGAACATGACTGTGGTTGGGCTTCTGATTCCTTTCTTAGGTTAGATTCCTGGACGTGAAGTTGCTGGGTCAGAAGGCACTGAGACATGAAAGTTTTCTCTGACGAACTTCTCACAGGAGCCAGCACTGCCTCTGCAACTTCCGCTCCTCCTCCCTCTCTCTTCCTTTCCTTCACCTCCCCCTTCTCCTCCTCCTCCTTTCTTCTTTCTTCTTTCTACTTTCTTCTTTCTTCTTCTTCTTCCTTTTTTTTAGGTACACACAGTAAAGTTTATTTTGGTGCATGATATACTTCGCTCCATTAAAAATAAACTAATCAGCAAATTCCTGCCTGGCTCAGCTCTGGTTTATGTAAATAGTGCCCAGCTGTAATGAGTTACAAGGTGTTATTATCTCACACACACAGGAGGCTTCACTCTAGAGCTCCGCTTGCAACAAAAGCATCTTAAATAAACTGAGAGAAGGCGGTTTGATTTGTAATGTTTTCACAGAATTGGGATATACCTCACCCATATAGTTTCTTTATATGACTCATTTTATAGCAAGTTAAATGAAGGAAGTTTGATGGGGGGAGGGAGGGGCAATATGGTTCCCCACCCCTTTCTTCACTTTAAGAAAATCCCCCAAGAGATGACCGGCACTGAGGGAGGAGGGGCTGGTCCTCAGGTGCTCAGACCAAGGTGGCTCTGAAGCAAGTGGTTCAGAAGCTGGGCGGGGCCCGAAGCTGGGCACAGGCCTGGGTCTGGTACAACTAAGCCAGGAGGAATGGTCTCTTCCATTCTCTATCTCAGCTCACTGCCACCTCTGCCTTCCAGGTTCAAGTGATTTTCCTGCCTCAGCCTCCTGAGTAGCTGGGATTACAGGTGTGTAATTATCCAGGTGTATCCAACACCTGGATAATTTTTGTAGTTTTAGTAGAGACAGAGTTTTGCCATGTTGGCCAGACTGGTCCTGAACTCCTGGCCTCAAGTGATAGGCCCATTTCTGCCTATCAAAGTGCTGGGATTACAGGTGTGAGCCACTGTGCCCGGCTTCCTGTGACTTTTTTCTTTTCCCAATTTGTCCTCCCAGTCACTGGGTGCTTTTCTTCCTCAAATTCATTCTCCAACATTTCTGGAAAACCATCAGGATTCTCAGTCCCTCTTTTCTTTCTCTGCGAAGCTCTTAAGCAGTGATTTGTCTTTTAGCTGACAAACAAGTGCAGATGACTCCCCAGCAGAGGTGGTGAACAGGTGCTGCATCCTGGCTCTCCGTAGTTAGGGGACTGGGCATTTCTGCGTGATTCCTCCCTGATTTTTCCCTTCTCACTTGCCAGGTTTTGGGGCCTTGTCACAGATGCCAGATGATTTGTATCGACCAGAAAACTGGGCAACGAAACCAGCATGTTTTCCAAAAACTTTCTGAGAGTCGTGAAAGAAAGGTAAGTGTGATTTCAAAATATAACACCTGGTTTCCGATCCTGGCGTTATTAATACCAGAACTGTGTTCATAATATGTGCGGAGTAATTTTTTTAAATGGGGGATTTGCTACATACCCAAAGCTGTTAGGCTACCATTAACCTACTTTGTAATTTGTAGTTCCATTTATTTTTCCTTTCCATCCAAATTCTCACTTTTTAAAAAAATTTTACTACATGTATTTTTATGCTTTCAAATCTTGTTGAAAATATAGAGAATATAAAAATAAAAACAAGTAATTCTATTGTCTTGATCATTCTTTACCACTGAGATCTCATGAAGAGTAAAGTGCCTTACTATGAATAGAGTAGCTGCATAGAAAGAGTCAGTACATTTCATTAAACTGGTTATTCACTCATTATTCCTGGAAACTCATTTTCTTGAAGGTTAAGACAACTAAGTGTTGTTATAAATTCCAGATTATAAAAACTGAAATTCCAACATGTTGATTCCTTAGAAAGGTTTATTTTCAGACTTATACTTTCTGTTAGGACTTTTTGTTTACAAAGAATTGCAGGAAGCCAAGTAAAGCAGTCAGGCTACATAGAACAATTCTTGAAAATTAACAGAAACAATGCAAACATTGAATCTATTTCCAATAATAAGCTTGCAACTTAATTCATGATAAACTGCTACGTTGTTTCCTGTGTTTCTTCAAAACCAGGAAATATGTAACAGTGTAGATATTTGATTTATGTAAGTTTTCTTACAAATACAGGATAGAAATGGCCTGCAGAGTGGTACATTTGACTGTTACAGCAGCCTGTCTGTCAGTGCAGGCTGTGTCATCTGGGGTGTGGGGACCTTGAGCCTGCACCATGCAGGTTGCCAGGAGAAGAAAGAAGGAGGCACAAATATAATACTAGGGTACATGAAAATAGTGTTTCTCAGCATCACTGTAGTTTCCATAGGCCTGAACTTTTTATTTTTAAATTTTGGAATAATTTTAGATTTACAAAACAGTTACAGTGAGGGTGCAGAGAGTGCACTCTTCACTCACATTTCTACAAATCTTAAGGAGTTAACTTGGCCCAATCCCCTAGCCTGGGGCCTGGAACATGAGAGCGTCCAACAGATGTTATCACAGGAACAGACAGACTGGGGAGCATGTCAGGTCCTCTGAAGAGTTCTTAGTGGCTCACTTGCATTGATGGTTAACATTAAGCAGGCTTACCTACTCTTCATTTTGGAACTTCCACCCTTATTTAGGAGAATTTGACAAAATTAACTTGCATCATTCTTTCTCAAGGAAAATGCAGAGCTTTGTCATTATCTTCCCCAAAAGGCTTTTAAAATATCAGGCAGCAAAGGGGAAATGGGCCTGGTGGTGGTCACAGGCTGAGAGTAGGAAGAAGGTCCTTCTTCAGCAAGTTCAGGACATGTGGGACAGAGATGTGCCCAGCAAGAAGAGGTGTAGAGTGACCACAGAGAAAGGATGAATGCCTTAGGATGAGAATCTTTGAGGTCTAAAGTTAGGATTCTCCTCATGTCCCACTGCATTCTACTATGTAACAGGACGTATCAAGTCTCAGTACACGTCTTTAAAGATCTGAATTTTTTTAAGTTAGACATTAATATTTACAAAGTTATTTTAACTGCTAAAATAATGTAGCCTTTTGTTGTTGTTGTTGCTGTTTTGTTCACAGGTGAACTTTGGCATGTACCTAATGCACACATCACTGGATTTATCCTCCTCATGTTTCCTGTCTGTAGGATCTCAGGTGCTCCCTGTATTGAAAGAGAACGTGGAAGGCCACAATTTACCTGCATCTGAGAAACACCAGGATGTTACCTCCTAAAAAAATTTTTTTTAGCATACATTAAAGTTTCTCTTTTACAGTGATCTCTATGATTGTTAAGATCTGCAACTTGGTTTAGTAGAACGTGGTGTTTTGAATAAGGGGAGCCCTTTTCCTTTAGAGGCAGGGAATGCTCTTACCTGCTTCCTTCTGCCTTTGACTTCTCACCCTGCACATCTGCACTGGCTATGCTCAGGAGAACAGTTATGAGACCTCAGGAATGAATGCTGCACCCACATCCAGTGAGACTCCCATAGGTATTTGAAGTATAATCATTTGTAATCAGATGAAATTTTTAATGAAGTTCACTGGGAAGATTGAACTTAAAACTCCAGTCCCTAGTTTGGCATTTTCTCACAGTTACTTTGTCTTTAGAGAGCATCTTTGATCTCTCCAACCCCTTTGTAGTGAGGAAGGGAGTCCATGCCCAGTGATCCTGGGTATGAGAAGATGCTCCTCTCCTCCCATGTACGTGATGGTGTGGGTGTGTGCTCAGGGTCCCAGAGGGTGACCACATTCCTTGTGGGGAGTTTCTTCCAGGATATTTATGTTCTGAGCAAAGGCACAGGCCAGCAATTTCTTTCCTCTTTCTTCCCATTCCTGGCTGCCATCTTCATCCCCCACTGAGTTGATGTACTTTTTTTTTTTTTTTTTTTTCTCAGCAGAGGACT